AATGGAGGAGAAGGGATTGCGGCGTGGCCATCCCCCCTGGGGGGTGATTTCTCGCTTTCTGTCTCTATGTCTCTGTCTGTCTGGCGAGCGCATGTGCCCTATAGCGAGAAACCTCTCAAAAAACAAACAAAAAAACCACCACCTTTGGAATCAGCAGATGGCATAGTGTTTATGTCACTGTACTCCCATGTAGTCGACCACAGTTTGAGTCCTGGACCCAGCAACTTGAAACTCACGCTGGGCGCATGTGTACGTATGCCCAAGATCCTGAGAGAACAGAGAACGGATTGTAGCACGGCCATCTTCCCAAGGGGTGATTTGTCGCTTTCTGTCTCTGTCTCTTCAGGAAGCGCACACACCCTATAGCAGAACAAGGAAGGAAAGAAGGAAGGGAGGGAGGGAGGAGAAGGGAAGGAGAAGAAGGAAGGAAGGAGAAGGAAGGGAGGGAGGGAGGGAGGAAGGAAGGGAGGGAGAGAGAGAGAGAGGGAAGGGAAGGGAAGGGAAGGGAAGGGAAGGGAAGGGAAGGGAAGGGAAGGGAAGGGGAAGCACCACCTTCGATTTCAATCTCAGTAGCACGGGTGGCTCGGACACATTACAGGCTCTGACGACCAGGCTGGGAAACCTCAGACCTCAGTGATCTCTGAAGGTAAACATGGAGGGAGCAGGAAGCGGGCAGGGAGGACAGGTCCCTCGTCACTGGGGAGGCTGAGCCCCAGGCACAACGTTCTTAGTGCCCATGGCAGTCATCCTTCCTGAAGGCACTGTCCTGTGTCCTGTGTCGCATGTCGTTTTAATGGTTGAAGTACAGGTTTTTCTAATGCCTTTAAAATGATCTCTGGGCCTGCCCCATGACTTAGTGGTTAAGGGAGCCAGGGCCAACCACTGTTCAAACCCCAGTCCTGGTAGCTTAAGGAACATGCATTGTGTGTGCACATGCGTGTTCCGAATCTCAACAGGATGGAGATGCAGAGGATCCCGAGGCGACCCACGGGGGCCTTTCTCCATCCTTCTCTGGTGATCGCCACGTGCCCTCTGCCAGTTCAGCACGTTATCATAGCAAGAGCCAGCCCTCCGCCCTGTGGTGGGCTTCCTTGCTGTGGAGTTGGCCCCTATCATTCCTAGTGGCCCCCCATTCAGTCCATGTCCCTGTCACTCAATGGGCAGTCCTAAAAAGGGGGCATGAAATTTGGCTAACAGGAAACTAAGTATCACAGTTGTCCTCTCACCAGGAAATCATTCCTCTGAAGATTCTAATGTCTACGTGCTGTCAAGGCTGCTCTGAAAATGCCTGTAACAACAGCTGGCCAGGATGGTGACTCGAGTTGTTCAGAGACTTGAGGTAGAGACTATGCACTCTCAAGCAGAAGGTCAAGACCAATGTGCTCACATGTGGAGGTGGCACGGCCCCCACTCTGAGGTCCATGTGAGTGGAGAATGGGGGGCAAGTGGCTGCAGTGACAGCCACAGGTGTCCCGTAGGCGGGTTGACAAGGGGACCTCAGGTCCTGCAGATGCCCTTTTACCAAGAGGGTGTCCTGAGGTCTTTTCAGTAGGTGGGAACTGCTTGGAGAACCACCCCTCTGGCTATGGTGTCTGTGGACAGACAACTCAACATAAACCATTTCGTTAATACAAGACAGAGACAGGATGCACCCCTGGTCATGCCACGGTCCTCTTCCCTCCGGTTCTCCAGCCCAGCAAGATCCTGGACGAATGGGCACCTGGCCGGTGTAAAGCCAACGGGGCTGGACTCGAACTCCAGGCAGTCATGAGGGATCTGGCTTCTTCTGCTCAGTGCCTAAGCACTGAACCACAAGGCTCGGCCCATAATGTAAACCTCTGTGAAATCCTGGAATGTGTGTCTTAGAAGAGATGCTGTAAAATCCTTAATAATTTTAAGAAGGTAATTCTTAAAAATGAGCTGGAGGAAGAGTTTAGACTCTAAGAAGCCTGGCTTTAACACTGCAGTAGCTTCTCTTCCCGTGAACAAATAGGTAGCTCTTGATTACTAAGCAGTAATTCGAAATGGAAGACTCGGTGATCCCACCTTGGATGAATGAGATGCCTGTGTTGTTGGAATCCACAGCTGTTGTTCTGGTAAATAGGAACTATCCTGCGGTCTGCTTGGAAAGA